CAAGGTGTTGGTGGAGCCCTGCTTTCTCTGAAGGCTCTAAGAATAGATCTGTCCTCACCTCCCTCCAGCTTCTGGTGGTGTTGGCAATTCTTGGCATTCTTTGGCTTGGAGACAAATCATTCCAGTCTCTGACTCTGTCCTCACGTGACATTTTCTCCATGCATGTCTCTGTCCGTTTTCTCTTCTTACAAGGACACCAGTCATTGGATTAGGACCTAGCCTAATCTAGTATGACTTCATCTTAACTAACTGCATCTGCAAAAACCCTATTTCCAAATAAGGTTACATTCTGAGGTTCTAGGTAGACACGAATTTTGGGGGAGAGGGAACACTATTAAACCCAGCACCGCTCCTATTCAAGAACTTTCTGATACCTATGAAAAATTACAAAGTTTCGTTAGCTACAGAGGGGCCTTCCTACTTACATACCAAGTTTCCCTAAAGAGATTATTAGCTAACTCATTCATTCACTCAGCAAGTATTTATTGAGCATCTACTATGTGTCTGTCACTTTTGCAAGCACTGGAGATACAGCTATGGAAAGGCAAAGTCCCACTTTGTGCTACTTATATTTGACAGAGAGAATACTTTATGCCAGTGTGGTGTAGAAAGCATGACAAGGTCTGGAGTCACAAGATCCGGTTTGAGTTCCAGTTCTGCTTCTCACAGGATGACACACCTTGGGTGGTCCTGGAGCCTGTCTCAGCCTGTTTCCTCATTGACAGGATGGGAATGCTGAGACCAGTACAGCTTCACAAATGTTAGCAGGATCTTTGTAAGATAACAAGCAAGGGGGTGCCCTGCAGATCTTTCTCAACATTATTATCCGTCTGACAGATCCTCAGCCATAAAAAGAGGATTATAACAACACCTACTCTTTGGGTTATTGATTGCATTAAATAAGCTAATCAGTGTAAAGCATGTAGAGCAGTGCCTGGCACACAAGGAGCGCTCACTCCGTCAATGTTGGATATCATTACCATTCTGATACATGTGGTGCATCAGGGAAAATTGGGAAATTCTGCAGCTTGCCTTCTACATTTCTGGACATATTCCTAGTGTCACTTATACTTGGAGAGCTGAAAAATAACATCACTAGAGATTAGGGTTGATGGGGTACCCACTGCCCCCGGGCATTGAGCCTTTATGGCAAAATCTTATCAAGACAAAGTGATGCAAGGGCCCAGGCACTGAGGAGGAAGATTCTGGAAGATTCTCTGTGGGACTCAGAAGAGACTACATGGCCACCAGTTGAGCATTCTAGAAAGAACTGGGCTCTATCCAACATAAGAGGTGGCCAAGACCCCAGTAATCAGTTAGTCTAACCTCCTCTTTCTATAGACAAGGCAGGTGAGGCCTAGAGAGAGAAGAAAGGAAGAAATAATACTGTGTGTCTACTGTGTTCAAACCTTTCCACACAGCTCATTCTCTATAATCCTCACAGCAGCCCGACAAGGCATGGGAGTGGTGATCTCCACTGTGCAGACAGCGAAACTAAGGCTAAGAGAGATCCAGACCCACATTCGGGTCGTGATGATACGGAGACTGGATCCCATGACTCAGTAGCCCAGACCTCTTTGCACATACGAGATTATTGCCCTGCCTTTTATAGTGGGGAGAAGCTTGTTGACTGGTGGCCTATGAATAACTGGAAGTCAATAAATTACCAGTTATTCCCAATTTGAGAGCCTCCCGTGCCCCAAGCCAGGCCAGTTTTACCAAGTGGAAATTTATTTATTTATTTATTTATTTTTAAAGATGACCGGTAAGGAGATCTTATCCCTTGACTTGGTGTTGTCAGCACCACGCTCATCCAGTGAGCTAACCAGCCATCCCTATATAGGATCCGAACCCATGGCCTTGGTGTTATCAGCACCACACTCTCCCGAGTGAGCCACGGGCCGGCCCTCCAAGTGGAAATTCAAAATATGTATGACACCCTTGCTTCTCTGAACTCTGGCTGATGGTCTCAGCATCATGTCCCAGCTACCTTTTCTAGTTCTCCTGTTTCAGTTATTTATTGCTGAGTAACAAACCACTGCAAAACTTAGTGGCTAAGACAGCAGTGACATACTGCTTGTCACATTCTGTGGGGAGGCAGTTGGGCAGTTCTGCTGGCCTCACGTGGGATCATTCATGGAGCAGCAGTTGCTGGGTGGCCGGCAGTTGGTGCTTCTCATCCTCCAGGAGGCTCATGTGGCTGTCAGGCATGGCTGGCTCAGGGCAACACTCTGAGAGAGTGAAGGGTGGGAACCGTGGGGTTTCCTATTAGGCTCCAAAACTTATTCATTGTCACTTCCACCACATTCTACTGGTCAGAGCAAGTCCCAGCCAGGCCACACACAGGGGGCTGGAGAGACACTCCATTTCTTGATGGGATGAGTGCCCACGTCAAATTGCAAAGGGGAGCACGCTTCGGGAGGGGACTGACAACTCCTTCCAGATTTCCTCCGGTTATTTGTGAGGCTGAAGCAGTGAGAGCGTCCCTTTTCTGTTCACACGTGGACTTTTCAAAGCCACTTGCATCACAGGGACTAGCACTGTGTCCTGGTTTGCTTCCTCCCTTGAGTGTGGGAATTTCTGGTGGTGATAGCATCCAGTTAGAGTATTGCTGGGAAGATTAGACATATGCATCTAAATCACAGAGTGGCTCCTTAGTCATGCTGTCTGTTGTCACCATCATTGTCATCCTGGGGACCACGAGAGGAGTCAGACACAGAGCTCTAGTGCAGGGTGCAGTGGCTTCTCTCTGGTGGCCACCAGGATATCCCTCAGGTTCCCAGGACACTCATCAGTGTTCTTAATTTAGGACCATGCCGGTAGCCCTGAGCACGATTGAGGATGAACTGTGCAGATTGTGGCTCAGAGTCAGAAGTGCATGGCCAGCTTCTTGGGTCATGCCTTAGCCCTGGGCTCTATTAACTGGGCTGTCCAGGTGGCTGAAGGAATCTCACTGGTCCCTCTGCATTCTCAGGACTCCAGGGCACCCACAGTCTGGCCCAGAGGAGGCAGTGGCTCTGGGGCTCTGAGTCCCTGTGATGCAAGTGGCCACAAGACCTGAGAAAGCCAAGCATGACATAGACTGGGGAATTGTCCTCTAAAGGACGCTCAGCGCTGTGGGTGTTCAGAGGAGGGAATGGTCTTGCACTTGTGTGCCAGGGGAGTGCATCGGGCCTTGAGGGATCATCAGGTTTATACCAGCAGAGGTGGAGAGGGGAGAGTCCCAGATGGACCCAGCCCAAGAAATGCTTGGGGCAAAAAGCCAAGAGTGGATCATTGGTTTCTCAGGAGCCCCCTTCAGTGGTGAAGGGGTGAGGAGTAGGAACAAGGTGGAGAATTGGGTTGTGCTGGACTATGGACGGCCTCAAAAGATGCGTGTGTAGAGGGGGACTCCTTTCTTGGCATAGGGAGGCAACCAGGACACCACATTGTCTGCAGCCCCAGAGCAGCCATTCCATATGTGGTGCCCCCTGTGTCTCCGTAACCACAATTTACATTAATTCCCTTTATGTTTTTTTATTTATTTATTTTTTTAAAGGTGACTGGTAAGGGGATCTTAACCCTTGACTTGGTGTTGTCAGCACCACGCTCTCCCAAGTGAGCTAACTGGTCATCCCTATATAGGGATCCGAACCTGTGGCCTTGGTGTTATCAGCACCACACTCTGGCCCTCCCTTTATGTTTAAAAGAAGGGCCACATTGCACACTCACACATCATAGATGGAGGTATGGAATTAAGCCAACAATAGGGTGTCACCATTCCATAAAGGTCTCAAGTCTCTGGGTGTTAGAGACCAAGATGGTGGCAGAGCAGGGCAGAGTGGTCTCATGTTTCCTATTCCTGGTGGTCTCAGGAGGACTAGTCCAGCTGGGAGTGAATGAATGGCCTTTCGGGAGAAACGTTTCATTCTTAGAATTTGGAGGAGCACACACATCCTCCCAGGCATTGCCCCTTCACCTTTACTGAGGCTGCCAGCTCTCTGCCTGGCGCCTGCTAGACTGTGAGCAATTTAGGTTACGTCTCC